TCCTAAATATGTAACCTTTAATTAGTAGAACTTACATTTATCTATGTTAAGTTACAGACCTACTTCTTCTATAGCCTTTAGCACTAGGCGTACATGCTGTTTGTACTCTAAAAGGCTATTGCTGTAGATTAGAATATTGTTAATATACGCAGTGCAGAACACGTCTAGGTAGGGTTAGAGCAAGTTGTTTACAAAATGTTAAAAAGTACTAGGCGCATTAGCTAAGCTAAAAGGCATCACTAGGTACTTAAATAGTCTGTATTAGGTCTAAAACGCTGTTAGCTACTTATTACCCTTTACTATCTTTAGCTTATTAAAGGTAGTAATAATATCTAACTTTATAAAATACTTTACTTTACTTAGTTAGCTTAAGGTTTCCTATAAAAAGGGAATTAAGTATTAGTTTTTAATAGTAACAGTGTTTAGTTTTTAGTAGTTAACGCAGAATTAAAGCCTACCTCTAGGTTTCTTTACAAATAGTATAGGTAACACTACTAGTAAGAAGCTAGCTTAAATAAACCCTTTTTTTAGGTTCTTGTTAAGGTATTTTTAGAGCACTTTTAATTTGTTTAGCAACATCCTATATAGTAGCCTATAACTAGGTTGTTTACTAGGCTTAAGAGTTATCTAGTAATTGTACAGACATTATATTAGAAGCTTATTAGACTTGTTTTAAAAGAAGACATATAATAGGTTGTAGTAGTCTTAAGGGACTATTATCCTTAGGTTAGTGTGTTTTTAGGGAGCTAAAGCTTAGTCTATATTAGAAATTGTAACTGTGTAGATTTTATAATCTAGTTATTAAGCTAGGGTTATAAACAGGGCAGGTCTTATGTAGCAGATGTCTATCTGCTGTTTAAGTCCTAGTTTGTGTCTAAATTAGGTAAGTAAAGGTTTTTTAAAGGCTTTCTCTTTTTTAAGTTTAAGTAGTTATTAAATTATTTTATATAGCTTATCTTAGTAAAAGGCCTAGCTTGTTAGCTTTACTTAAGTAGTTCTTCTTTAGGTTATTAGAGAGTAGGTCTAGAGACCTTCTGTATTAAGTGCTATTTAGGTGTTGTTTAGATGTAAGTGTAAGCATATATCTTAGCATTAGAAAGAGTTAAAGTTTAGAACTTACTTTTAGTAATTAAAAGCAACCTTATGCTAATACAGCTATAGTTATTCTAGGATTAGGTTATAACATCTTATATTTATTACATAGAGTTTAATCTGCTCCTTATAGTGTTAGTAAGTAATTATAATAGTTATAGTACAGAAGATAGAACCTTTTTTAAGTTGTTTTCTATTAAATCTAGTTAGGTAAATTATTTAGGTAAGCAGTGTTAATTAGAGATTTAGTTTACGCACTAGTTCTCTATTAATGTAACCTATGCTGTTTACTTCTAAGTTAATAAGAGCCTGTATTAAGGCTAATATAGTTCTTTATTATAAATATATAAAAATATTAACTTAGTACTTTTAGTTGTTAGTAGGGGACTTAGCCTATAGGTTAGCAGAGATCTAGTGTTAAATTAGTCCTAGGGGGCGACTTAGCCCTAGGACAAGCCTTTTTGCAGGCTCCTACTGCTATAGCTGCGGCTATGTTAAGAGTAGTAAGGGAGATTAAAGCTTAAATATAAGTTAGAGCCCTTATAAAAACAAAATTAAAATAGTAAAGATCTTTAATAAGTACTAGCAGCGCTACTTGCGTAGACTTAAGGAAGGGGAATAGAGCAGTTTTAGGAGATATAACTATGCTTACTGCACTTAAAACATTAACTTTTTTTCCTGTAATCTTTACGCTTTCTAGAACTAACTAGAGCATAATTTAAATTAATTTTTATTATGTTAAAGTCTTTATTTACAACTGCGCTAGTTTAGGGGCGTATTAGGGCTTGTACAGAGAGGAACCTTATGTTATTATTATAGGTAGCAATTAGGTTTACATACGCATTAAGGTTGTTTAGGAGGGGTTCTCCTACTATAGCGCGTTGCAGTTTAGTTAAGAGGGAGTTATATAGGGCTGTAATTAGACCTATCTTATTTAGGCCTATATTAGATGCAAGTTAGCAGAACTTAGTAAAGTGTAAGGTAAAGCTTTTTTTTTTTTATTATAAAGTGTTTAGGCAACTTAGAGCTGTTAACTCTTTGTTTAAGTCTTTATAAGTTGCTTACAGAAACACTATAAATTAGTTTAAGTTAATAATATTCTTATCTATTAGTAAGTTAATTAAGGCTGTTATGTTGTAGTTAAGTTAAGAGTAGGCATATAGTAACTAGAAGTGTTTAAAGGGGAATTAGTCTATGTTTCCTTTAAGTTTATATTAAAGCTTGCGTAGAAAGGAAGGTAGGTCTTTTTATTTTCTGTTAAACAGCAAAGGATTAGAGAGTTAGTTAGATTTTATTACTAGGTTAGAAAAGTTACAGGTTATAAGTAGTGTTAGGCAGGAGAAAGTTAAGCTATCTCTAGACTTCTAGGTAAGCTTTAAGGCTAGTAAGTTCTTAGTTTCTACTACTATAATAAGAGTTAAGGCAGAAACAAACTACTTAATAGCGCAAAGCTGTTCTTTAAAGTCCTTTTAAAGAGCTTTAAAGCTTATAACATAGTAGCTTTCTTATAGAGTAAGCGCTTTTTAGAAGGCTTCTTAGCTTACTCTAATAGCTTAGAGTTATGTAAGTACTAAGCTTATTAGATTAAATTTAGAGGCTATTCTTAGCTAAAGTTTTAACACAACATAATGTTATAATTATGCATAAGTAAGGTTATAGAGCTTTGCAGAGGTCTAGTTTAATTACTATGTAAGGTATTATAGTAGGTACAAGACGTTGTGTAAGGAACAAGAAAGTTTAGAAGGAAATTAGTAATTAAATACTTAGCTTAAAAGTCTAAGCGCTTTAAGTATAAATTAAGCCTATTCTAGGTTTAGTTAGTGTTAAGGCAGTTTGTGCTTAAGTTTATGTCTGTGTTGTGTTGTGTTCATGTCAGACGTGCACTAATAATACTCTAGTACGCGTCCAATACGGTTATGTCTGGGATCCGGGGAGGATACCGTGACACTTATAATGCTATAATTACTTCTAGTAATATCTAAAAAAAGTTTTAAAGCGCTAGATTAGTTCCTTTTAACCTATAATAAGTTATAATAGGCCTTAATGTAAAGTTGCGCACTCTATTACTACTACTACTTATATACAACAAGCTCTAGTAGTTGTAAACCCTAAGTAATACTCTAAAACTTAAGTTATAATTAATGCTTATAAAAATAAGAATTTAAAAGCATATAAATAGTTTACTAACTTTTATAGTTAAGGTGTTTAAGAAGGTCTTAAAAAAAGCAGTAATAATTATGCATAAGCTAGTCTTAGCATAATAGAAAATTACTAAGCTTTAAGCAGCTAATAAAGCTGCTATATAACATAAATTATATAAAAGAAAGTAAATTAAAGTAGAAAAAACCTTAATAATTTAAAAAGGCTTACGCTTAATAGCTCTAAAGGAGTTTAAAGCGCGCAGTAATAGAAAGAAGGCAAAGAAGCAGGTGTAAGCTAAAGTAGGTAAGCTATTCTAAAGGCGCTATAGATAGTGTAATTAGACTAGGCATAACACATAAACATGTAAGCAAGAAGTAGAAGTAGTATCTAAATAATATTCTACGCTGTACTGTACTATATAGTGCTAGAGCAGGTTGTTATAGGCCATAATAGAGTTTGTTAGGGTGGGGTCTTAGCAAAAGTAAGCGACTCGGGTGTGTGAGCAACTCGCCTATGAAGTACGTTAGGGGAAAAAAAAGATGTAAGGAACGCTAAGAAATTTCCCGATTTTTGCACACAATAGATATACTTAATAATTATCTATTTTTTATTATTACCTAGCATTTATAAGTTAGCTATAAAATTAGCTTATAAAAGTTATCTAGTATGTTAGTTATTATAACAGTGCTGCTTGTCGAGCTCCGCTGCTAGTCACATGATCTCGCTAACCGTTAAGCGAGCGCGCTAGTGCCTTGGCGCTGCGCAAGCTTTTCTCTCGCGAAAACCCTTCGCCTCCTTCACTCCCTATCCTAGTTTAGCTGAAATAGAGCCGACCTACTCTACCTTGCTTCCCTAGCTCTATACAGTAGTAGAGACAGTGCTTGTTATTATATTAAGCTAAAATTAACTCTATTTTAGCTAGAGGACAGCAACATAATATCAGAGTTAAACTAAGTAATTAGCCTGTCTGCTTAGTTTACTAATAACTACCTACTAAGTAATTAGCCTATATGCTTAATTTGCTAACAACTACTGTAAAATTCTAGTTAGGCTAGGTACCTTAACGCCTCTTAAAGAGCCCTGTGCTAAGTAAGACGCTGCAGCTAACCGAGCAGATTATCCTTCCTTTCCAGGAAGAAAGTGGCTAGTCCTGATTAGGAAGGATAACAGGCTTTGCTTGGAAGGTCTTGGCAGCGCTAATTATATTTGGAGGGAAAAACCACGCAGCAGAAGTGATTTTAACACCCCTGACTGCGTCGTCTTTGATCACGATAGGGAAAAAAGAAGGCTAGATTAAGCATGTAGCAGAGCAGAATGATTACTTAAAGCTTAAAAACGTAGAACAACAAAGCTTTTTAGTTCTTTGATTTTCTACCAATTAGATTAATAACCGGCTTATATCCAGACCAATAGGAGAGAGGGCTTGGCGGTAGAGATAGTGTAATATTTGATTAACTATTAAGAAGAGCCTACAGAGCTCTATTGTACTAATTACTCTAGAAGAGATCACCCTGCTAGATCCTCTGCTACATAATTAGAAGCCCTAAGGCAGCAGGCATTCTACAGGCCTAGAGACAGCAAGCCTACTAACTAATTAGCTGCACTGCTAGCAGCACTACTACTCTACTCTCTTAAGACCTAAAGCAGTATTACTAATTAATTAGCTACACTGCTAGCAGTATTACTAACTAATTAGCTACACTACTAGCAGCATTAAACTTATAGTAGCATAGAGAAACTGTGAAGCTATGTGAGGCACTAGAGACATGAGGAACTGCATTGTATTGTATTGCTAGAGGAGTCCTTCGTAGGAGTCTATATACATGCGAAATGAGTGGGTGAGTCTTGGCAACAGATCATAGTGAAGACGCATACGACTATGATGACGACGCATCCGATCATGGTGACGACGCATGCGACTATGGTGACGACGCATCCGACTATTGTGTGATTACTGCAAACAGAAACTCTTAAAGCTTAAGATGCGGGTAGACCCTACTACTCTACTAACTAGCAAAGAGCACACGCTAGCACCTAGAACACTTACGGGTAGCGCTAAAGTTTACAGCAAAAAGGTGTTCAAAGAGGACTATATAATTAAAAAACTCTATAGACAAGCTTAGTAAAATAGGAAGCTAATAGTAGTTATGTTTGCAGTTACGGAGCTCTCCATGCGCTAGCCACCAACACTCCTTTGGCGTACTGCTGCCTAGCAATGCCACCTGCTGCAGCCTAGAGCTATTGGTGGCCTTAAGTCACATGATGGGTTCATCTAGTACTATATAAACCTGTAGTTGCCCTCCTTTAGCAATACAATCTAGTTCCTCATGTCTTTAGTGCTCTACATAGCTTCACAAGTTAAAACTAAAAAGGTTTTATAAAGTAATAATATACATAATCTTTATAACTTTACTATTACTTTACCTATGCTTATAACTAGCAAGAAAGTAGTTTTTATAAATAAGCTAGTCTAATATATTTTTAAAACATAGACCTTCTATAACTATACCAACACACTAGTAAAAGTTCTTAATAATATAGAAAAGAAACTACTAGAAGCTTAGAAACAGGCAGCTAAATTCTAGAAGCTGCTAGATAAGGCTATAGCAAAGCTAGCTAACTAGAGCAAAGAAATTACTACTTTAAAAGACTTACTTAAGCTAGCATTTATAGACACTTTTTACGTATACTTTTTTAAATAAATAGGTAGCGCACTTGCACCAACACTAATTATAAGCACTTTAGAAAAGTAGCTGCGCTTTAAACCTATAACTCTAGCTACACTAAACACTATATAGTTCACCTTACAAAGCTAGAGAGAAGGCTTATAATACTCTACTAAAGTAGTAAACCTACTTATATTTATAAGTAATAATAACTATAATATTAAACACTAGAAAGACCTGCTAGCAGGTAAGCTACTACACAACACTAATTACTTTATCCCTTTAAATAGTAATTTAGAGAACTATAAAAATGCGTTAGCGCACTACACAAAATTAAGAATAAACAGGACAGCTCTAGGTTACCTGCAACTGCACTTTAAAGTAATAGGAAAACATAACTAACGTACCTTACAGGCGAGTTGGCTACACGGGCGAGTTGGCTGCTCCGCCAAGACCCCACTAAAACCACACCGTCTTCTAACCTATATTAGCACTATTTAGTCCTACAAGGTATAATATTACATGGTATGCTATTCTAGTACTACCTCTACTCTATTTTTACACGTGCGCGAGTTATGTTCTACCTTGTAGCACTATTTATAGTGTTTTAACGTACTTCACAGGCGAGTTGCTTACACACCTAAGTTGCTTACTTTTACTAAGACCCTACTAAACTACTTTTTCTACACTAATGCATTCCTAACAACACTACTTAGACGCGCTAAAAGAACATTAGATACAGCTTACGCTCTAAGCTTTTAAATAAGACATAAAACTCTTAAAAAAACATGTTGTAGCTATGTATAAAGTTCTATAAAAAATAATAAATAACTATAGCACTAGACAACCTTTATAAGCTAATTCTACAGCTAAATTACAAAGGCTAGGTAATAAAAAGAAGTAAGTAATTATTAAGACTATACTTAAGCTATATGCGTAAGAAATTTCCCCTTAGATAGCATTTATAGCTAATATAGCTAATTCTTTGCGCGCTAAGCATAATCTAGGCTATGTTAGTATAAACTAGCTTTATATGTTTATAAAGTGTTATTTAGAGCTTAAAGTAACATTTAAGCGTAAGTATAACTATAAGAGAGCTTTTTATAACAGTTCTAAGGTAATTTAGAGCAGGTTTAGCCTTATAGAGAATATTAAAGCTAAGTATAGCATCTAGAATAATAACACATACAGCTTTAGCAAGATAGGCTTTATAATTAGCTAAATATTTTTTAACTATACTTACACTTAAAACTTTACTTTAAGCTCTAAATAATGCCTTACAAACATACTAGTCTAGTTTATGTAAATATAGCCTAGATTATGCTTAGCGCGTAAAGAATTAGCTATATTAGCTATAAATGCTATTTAAGAGGAAATTTCTTGCGCATATAGCTTAAGTATAGTCTTAATAATTACCTGCTTCTTTTTATTACCTAGCCTCTATAATTTAGCTGTAGAATTAGGTTATAAAAGTTATCTAGCGCTATAGTTATTTATTATCTTTTATAAAACCTTACACATAGCTGCAGCATATTTTTTTTAAAAGTTTTATGTTTTATTTAAAAGCTTAGAGCATAAGCTGTATCTAACATTCTTTTAGCGCGTCTAAGTAGTGTTATTAGGAATGCATTAGTGTAGAAAGGGTAGTTTAGTAGGGTCTTAGCAAAAGTAAGCAACTTAGGTGTGTGAGCAACTCGCCTGTGAAGTACGTTATAGGCTTATGCACTTTATTAGTGTGCACTTTTTCCTTTGCCTTCTTTCTGTTGCTACGTGCTCTAAACTCCTTTAGAACTGTTAAGCGTAGGCTATCTTTAACTATAAAAGTACTCTTATGCTATACCTGCTTTCTTTTATGTAATTTATAACATGTAGCAGCCTTATTTGCTGCTTTAAGCTTAGTAATGCGCTTTTATGCTAACATAAGCTTATGCGTAATTATAGCTGCACTCTTTAACACCTTTTTAAACGCCTTTACTACTAAAGTTAGTAAGCTATCTATATGCCTTTAAATTCTTACCTTTACTAGCGTTAATTATAACCTTAATTTAAGAGTATTACTTAGTGTTTAAGACTGCTAGGGCTTGTTGTTAATAGATAGTAGTAATAGAGTGTGTAACTAAACTTTAAGGCCTATTATAACTTATTCTAGGTTAAATAGGACTAATCTAGCGCCTTAAAACCCTCCTTAGATATTACTAGAAGTAATTATAGTGTTAAAGGTGTGTTTAAAGCATAGTAGAAACTTAAACTTTATAATGTAAGTAATTTAGTTATATATAAGATCTTTAGCTTAGCGCCTGTACACCTTCTTTAAAGGCGTAAAACAACCTATATTAAGTAGCTGTAAGAGATAAGAGAAGTAAAAAGGTATATAAAAAGTAATAATTTTTTTTTATAATATTATTAAAACTTAAAGGTGTTGTAGCTTTTATAGCTGTTAATAACAAGCAGCTAGTACACTCTAATAGTACGCCTCTCTGTATAGGCATTAAAGTGCTCTAACTACTAGAAACTAAGCTTATTTGTTGTCTAGCTGCTTTTAAAGACTATAATAACCTAGTTCTAGAGTAAAGAGTCCTTCTTATACTAAGTAAAAAAATAGTAGCAGCCTTTAAAAATAATAAAGAGTAAAATAGCCTATTTTATAGCATTAATGCCCTAGATAACTATTATCTACTTTTAATTACTCTATTAAATTAACTTCAGCTGTCTATATTACTTTAAAGCTATAATAACTGCTCTAGTTAATATTTAACTTATTATAAAGCTTATCTTATTAAAGTTATAGGTGTCTTTGTCCTAGATGCTGTACTTAGCTTTTATGTTAGCTACTAGCTAGAAATAGTCTTGTATAACCTTAGGATCTTTGCAGAGGGCTTTTTTATAGTTATACTTATAATTAAACTTAATTTTAAGCTTAGGGCAATGCTTAATAAATGTGTCGCGTATACAGAGAGCCTTGGCTGGGGCTCGGAGCCTGGGACTGGGGCTCAGAGCCTGGGACGCAGCTTAGGATCTGGAGATATTATGTTCTAAAGCTTAGTGTATATAAGGAGAGCCTTTAGCTCTCTTAGATAGGAAAGTTACTTTATCTAATCTTATAAACAGCTACTGCTAGGCTATTTTATTCTCTACAGTTAGAGGCCTAGCGCTTTAAGAACCTAGAACAATTCTCTTTACACAACTATAGCGCTAGTAAAAGCTATTTAGAAGCTTTATTCTTTATCTTTACTTATTCTTATTGCCTTCAAAGCCTATGTTATAGCTAATTAAGATGCTCTTCTCTTAACAGGAGTATACTAGCTTAAGGACTACGTGAGCTAGCCTCTCTAGTTTATCTAGCTCTAGTTCTATACTCTTAGTAAAAACCTATAGGACATGATTAATCTAGATAGACTAGACCCTCTAAATCCTATAAACAGCGCTCTAGAGATGCCTACACTTAGAGTAATTACTGCTAAGAACTCTCTAAAGAAGGCTAATATATAGTACTAGACTAATATTACTAAGTACTAAGCTTAATTAAGCAACTAGGCTTCCTACGCAACGCGTCTTTAGACAATCTAGAACTAGGTTAATGCAACTGTTGCACTAGAGCTTCTAGGACCTATAATAATACAGCTTATATTAGAGAACTAATCTACTCTATAAGCACTTATATAAGCCTTAAAACAAAAGCTAGCACTAACAGACATAAGTATAAAAAATCTTATATAAGTAAAGTATAAAGCTTACCTTACTAAGGTAAAGTATAACACTATAACCTTAAAAGCTTAGTACTAGCAGTGGCACTTTTTATACACGAAGGCAAGGACCTATAAGATTCTTAATGTAGAAGGCTAGCTAGCTGCACAAGACTTCCTAGACGCTCTAGCTCTAAAGCTTGCACTAGACTAGGCGCGCTCTATGCACTAGAGGGTTATAGAGGCTAGCGCACTTAGCAAGAAGCCTTTAATAATTTAGGAAATTAGTAAGATCTTTTTAATAATGCTTTAAAAGCACTCCCTGCACATAAGCAACTAAAGCATAGGTATATTTACAACACTTAGTAGATAATTAGATAATAAGTTAGCCTAATTTATTTTAGCCTAATTAAGCTACTTGTGCCTATGCAGAGCTTTAGAGTAATCCCTTTATTTATAAAAAGCAGTAGACTGTAGAGACTTTATGTTAGTAGTTATTAGAAAGCTAAAGACGCTTAGTAAAACTACACACTAGAAGATCTTTAAGAGGCTTAAGTAAGTGCAGTGTAAAAAAGTAAAAGCTATACTGCTTAAAAAAGGCTGTGTAATTTTAGATAGAGCCTCCTCTACTTTAAAAGCTATTAAAGAATTAGATAAACTAGCATTTCTAAAAAGCATTATTGCTGCACTTATTAACCTAGCGCTTTTAGTAAAACTAGAGAAGCATATAACTATAAATTTTAATTCTTACCTACTCTCTATAAGCACAATTCTAGATAATAAGAGTGCTACGCACTTAGTAAATAGTATTAAGCTGCGTATACCTAGGTTATTTAAAAAAGCTTAAAGTTTATATATAGTAAAAGTAGGCACCTAATTTAGAGAAC